CATCCATCCATCCATCCATCCATCCATCCATCCATCCATCCATCCATCCATCCATCCATCCATCCATCCATCCATCCACCAGGGACACAGGAGAGCTGGCATCTACCTCCAGCAGTCATTGTGCAAGATGACATTTAAAATAACTGGTAGGTGGGAAAAAAAAACATTATATTATTTAAAAAATAGCATTTTAGATTAGAAAATAATGGCTTCATTCTATCAGCCACCTTTAAGTTTTAAACTACAACATTTGTCATCCTTGTTTTTGTAGCAATGCTAAAGTACAGACTGGGGGTTTAAGATTTTTGTCCTGCTTCCACTATTTCAGTAACACGGAAAACTCAGAAGAGACGTGGAGTCACAAGCACAGACTGCAGGTAAGAGACCTGTTCTCACATTCCTGTGGGCTCTGACACTGACCTAGTGACAAACCTTGGCAAACCTCTCACTGATGCTTGGACAAGACACCTAGCAACCACACAATCCACACAGTCACATGATTTAAGCTCAGCGGCCGAACATTTTCATCAGACACACAAACAGCACACACGCTGTTCACTTTGTTCTAATGTTTTTCACAGCACTGCAACAAGAATATATACATTTATGTCAGGAGCAAGAAAAGCTAAAAACCACGTTTACCATATTTTTCGCCCTATAAATCGTGTTTTATTTGCATAATTTGCATGCCCTGCGACTTATACGCTGAAGCAACGTATTTCTGTTACTTTCCACTTTATTAGACATGTGTGGACTGATGCGACTTACGGGTCAGTGCGACGTGTAGGGCGGAAAATATGGTACTCTGTCAGCAGAGTCCAATAATTAACAACAGAAAGTTGGTTAGTACCAGCTATAGAGCAGGTTTCCTCATCAGGCTTACAAAAAAAACACACCCTGTTTTATTTCATGACTCAGAGGAATAAATGCCACTGAACAAGTCAAACACATGGAGATTACAGCACAGAGCCATGAGGCTGCACCTGAAGGCTCGGCTGGGCTTTGTGCTAACATCAGCCAACGTCAGCTAACATGCTCCATCAGCTATCAGCGTCATAAAGTCTGCTGTCTTATCTGACAGGGAACACGACTTGCAGTACAGCGTGTTCTGATACAAGTGCTGCATGTGTAACACACATCATGGCTATTGACACGTTTATATGAGACTACTGAGTCGGCAAAATAAAACTAATGTCAAAACCTGTTCTTTCCTCATCTCTTAATGAGTCTGTGAGCACAGGAAACATCTGCAGCTTGTGTTTATCCTCCTCTAGTTTAATATTCTATCTTGGTTGTAGGTTTGATTCTTAGAAAGTCAAAAACACAAACATGTGTAGTAATGACTTACTCTTTGTAAGAGTCAAATAACCGTTAGTTAATGTTGTAAATCATTAATAACCTGTCTTTCTACTTTAATGTTAAAGATGTTTCTTCGCTCTTTGACTTCTTTCCTGGATCACTTTGAAGGTTTAAAGATTGACCATAATTTCTTAATGTTAATCTTCTCAGACTATTAAATACTGTTCTGAGCACTTGGATTATGTGCAAACATTTCTCATGTGATCAGAGGCCTTATAACTGATGACCTTGCCGCTCAGGTTTATGTTCTTACTCTAAATGAGAAATGTAAAGTGCAGAAGGTCTGAAGAGCCAAGCTTTTATATTTTCATCTTGTCAAAAAACATTAACCTGTTAAACTCCATGGGGTTTCTTTGGTCTCTGCTCTAAAATAACATGCTCAAATGAAACTGAGTGATTCACAGCAGTGACAATTCAATTCAGTTTATTTACATAGCACCAAGTCACAACAGAAGTCGTCTCAGGACACTGAACAGAAACATTCATATTTATAAATAATAATTTAACATTATTTATCTGAGGAGCAGACTGCTTTGAGTTTAACTCCATCGCAGAACTCTTGTCTTGAGCAAGCATGAAGGCGACAGTGGAAAGGAAAAACTCCCTCATGAAGAAGAAACCTTTAGCAGAACCAGGCTCAGGACAAGTGGCCATCTGCTTCGACCGACTGGGTTTGGTAGGAACAGGAAGGAGGAACAGATACACAATGGCAGGTCAAGAATCACATGTTAAGATAGAAATAGTATCAAATGAAAACTATTGAATTTTAACAATTAATTTAAGGAAATGAGGTCAATTTGTCCTCTAGTAGTCTAGATGTGACAAATGCATGGACCAGTTTTTCTGCATCATTTTTAGATTAGATGTTTCTAATTTTAGTGATATTACGCAGGTGGAAGAAGGCAGTTCTAGTAACTTTTTTAATGTGGGGGATAAAATACATGTCCTGATAAAAATAACACCAAGATTTTTAACATTAGAGCTGGAGGACAGATTAATGCCATCCAAGGAGGGAGAAAGACTGAAAAATTAATTCCTAAGGTGCTCAGGTCCAAAAAATAAAACCTCAGTCTTGTCTGTGTTCAACAGGAGAAAATTAAGAGTCATCCAGGTTTTTATGTCTTTAAGACATGCTTGTAGTTTAAGTAACTAATTGGATTCATTGGGTTTCATGGACAAATATAATTGTGTATCATCAGCATAACAATGAAAATTTACCCCATGCTGTTTAATAACATTATCTAAGGGAAGCATATATAAGCTAAAGAGTAATGGTCCAAGCACTGAACCTTGAGGAACTCCAACTTGAACTTTAGTTACAGTCTGTTTAAACCATCTTGGTATCAAAATGAAGCTAACATTTGTGAGATTCCATCAGAAGCTTCACAGCAGCTGCATTGCTTAACAGAAAATGAGGATGGAACACAGAAAAAAGGATTGTTTCCCCTCGTCTGAAGTTTTTCTGCATTATAAATTAAATCCTGCAAAAACATGATGAAGAAGACAACAAACTGAAGGACAGCAACATGTGGACATTAAGATTCATGCTGCTGAAGTCAACATTTCGCCACAGTTTGGAACCAGCTATGAAAGTTGAATTTTTTTAGGTTTTAAAGTGCAAAAATTATTTAACTTTATTTACATGTCTAAAATAGCTTGTTTTTTAATAACCCACACATTTATTGATCTATTACCCCATTCAAATAAAATAAGAAACAATAAAACTTGACTTTATATTTACTCCAACTCACATTTTACAAAAATGTAGAAAAACCTTTACAACATATTTACATATTTGCAATATTACATTTTTTTTTTTTTTTTTTTGGTGGGGGCTGCGTTAGCTCAGTGGTCAGTGCCACGTCTTGTAATTAATAATAAATAATGTTTCAGCTTGGGTTGCATCACGAAGGGCATCCGGTGTAAAACAAAGCCAAATGTTTCATGCGAGTTCTCTCGCTGAGGTGACCCCGGAAGAGGGAGCAGCCGAAAGAAACTTACATATTTGTTGTCTAGTAGTTACTGCCTGATTCTGTCCAACCAGCAGCCCTGCATCACAGCAAGCAGGCAGCAGCAGATAGTGTGATCAATATTATGGTAACAACAGTACAGCTCAATGGCTGAACACACAAATCATATCTAAAACAACACAGATGTTGAAGGAACAGAACGAGTTTGGTCTTTCAGTCTCTAAATCCAAACTCACATATGTTGCACAAGCAGAACGGTTATTTTAGACATGTCATCCATGCTGCCTCTGCACTGATTTAATGTTGACCCAGCCAAAACTGGAATGTTGCATAATGAGCATGCTTAAAAGGAAACGCTATATCACATCAAGTTTGTAAGTAAGCAATTGCTCAAGTCAAAGTGCACTGTTTTTTTAAACAATGTTGCTGAACCGCTTCTGATCTACTGCAAATTTTATATTAAATGTTTTGACTGGTGGGTGTCTTTGCACTTATTCAATTCTATTTAATTCAAAAATACTTTATTAATCCCAGAGGAGCTCATTTGAATGAAACCAGGAGAATGTAGCTCATTCTCCTGGTTTCATTAAAAGTTGTTCTAGATGCTGATGGCTGTGGGCAGGAAGGATCTCTTGTGGTGGTCCGTCTTATAGCGGATCTGAAGAAACTGCTTGGACTTGGTGGGCCTCTCGGTCCTCCTGGGCAGCAGGACCACCAAGTTGTTGGTGGGCAGAACTCATTTTGGAGTTTTTATTGGGCAGAACCCAAATTGTTTATTTGTTGGATAGAACTCCTCCCAGAGTGATGGTCACTCCTCTCAGCAGCAGCTCATCATTGCAGACAGCCAGCTGCAGGTGTCGGGGGATGCTCCTGGTCTTCTTATTGTCATGAGCCGTGTTTCCCACCAGCTCCAAGATTTCGGTGGTCAGGTACTTGAGCACCACCACCAGGTAGACGAAGACACATCCACGGCGCCTCCTTTACAACTTATTTGTGATTTGAGGTTGTAGTTGAGGTATTATTTGAGCTTTGAGATGTTAATCAGCTGCTCCCAGTTGTAAAAACCACCTTGTTGCCATGGTTACACATCATAACAAATGTCCAAAAGTAAAAAGGTTTCAGTAAAAATCCTTCCAGCTGCACAGCATCTGATACCAGAGGAAACAATCATCCGAAAAATGTGATTCACATCTAAAAAAAGAGGAATTTAAGTTTTCAAAAAGCAACATCCCAGAATGGATGTAACAGAGCCACTCCAACATGCAGCTGCCTTGAGCGGCGCAAATCTAGAATTGAATTCTAGATATGATGAAGAAAGTTTTATGTGTTCTCCATCGTGTGGATCGGCTCAAGGTCAAAAACAGGCAACAAATATACCAACAACTGTGAAAAGTCCAACAGAAATAAACGGGTGCCCAGATGACTTCATATGGGTTCACATTGATGTAGACACATGTTTATATATGCTTAATCTTATACTATTTTTAAATGTCACAAAAAAGTATTTTAGGAAGGCCACGATAAATCATACTGAGGCTGAAATAGCCTCTAATAAAGATCCTGTACTTCAGGTAATTAACAAAAACAAGTGTCTGATTTAGTTTGAGCAAATGTTGCTATTCTGTACAGAACACGTGTTAATTAAAGTGCAGGTCCTGTCTCTTTATGACTCCCAGTTAAAGAAACACAGCAGTAAATGCATGAACACAGCTGAGCAAAAATCACAAGGAAGCCAGATCTGATTTACTGAACTACCTGTTCAACTTCAGAGGAAGTTTTAGAGCCAGATAACACTCAAATAGAGGTCATTCAGAGGTCAAAAACAAGCTTGTAAAGTGTATAAAAGTCTTATGAGCACAAAACGCCTTCTAAACAACAGAAAAATATAAAGAAAACTCCTGAAAATAAAATAAATAGTGATCTGATGAAAATGGCTTATAATTAGATGAACTTATGTTGACAAAAAAAGTAAAGATAACAGTAGTAAATCAATCAAATTTGAATATATATGTGTGTGAATGTGTGTATGTGGGGGGGGGGGGGGTGTACAAGGTAAAACAGTAAATATCAAAATATGTTGACAATTTAAAAAAAATGAATAATAAAAGGAAAGGGGACGAGCGTAAAGCAGATAGTTCTCCTCACCAACGTTCTGGAAACCAACAGTACATGGAGCATCATCGAAGTCGACGCAGCTGATCCCCAGGGGGTCCAGCTTCGCTATGTGATGTCCTCGAACCTACAAACAGGGCAGCGAGGCACAGTGTGTGTATCCAGGAAGACTAGTCAGCCTCATTTAGTATATCTGTGCATGGTGTGTACACACGTCAGTGTGTACAGTGCTGACTGCTGATGTGGGTTAAAGGTTGTCTGCTTCCTGTCTCAGTTAAATGTTTTCAAATATCCAGATCAACTCGTACTTCAGTCTCTTTGTTTTTACTCAAACATATTAGGTATGAAAAGCAGCTGACAGCCACAGTGACTAGTAGTCCCTCGTTTATCACGGGGGATCCGGACCCTGAAGACCCACGATAAGTGAAAAACCATGAAGTAGGAACAGTAGCCCAAGTATTAAGTAGTAGTTTATTTATTTATATATATATATATATATATATATAAATAAATATATATATATATATATATATATAAACCCTTCCCACACTCTTGCAATCTTGCAATATTCTAAACAATGTTTCTAAACTCTAAACGCTCTAAAAGAGCACAGAATGTCATGATTTCAGCTCCCTGCCTCCTCTGTTCTTTGCCACCTGCAAGCGCTTTTGGCCACGCCCACTTCTCATCTCCGCACGTAGAACAGTTGTTCAGCTGCAACAGGAAGTTTATCCTGCAATATGGGCTGCCCAAATATGCAGCAGGTGCTAAATTATAAATAATTTATTTTAAATAAAAATTTCATGCTGATTGTGTGGCTCATCCATCAATCAAACAATTGTGTGTCATGTCCAATCTTGTTTTGAACAACCGCGATAGAGTGAGTCCGTGAAAAACGAACCGCAAAGTAGTGAGGGACTACTGTACTTACGTTAGACTTGCTAAACTCACCTATTTGTTCTGTTTTTCCAATTTTAAGTACAAAACTGAGGATGAGATTTACTGGAAGTGACCAGCACCTCATCTTTACAGTTATAAAATGTATAAAAAAAAGTTCAATGTGTACATGAGTCCATCAGTTTGTGCACAACTGGAATGACTTCAAACAAAAAGATGGAACTATGAGAAAACACTGATTTTCATCTTTTCTTATATCCCGTTGGGTTTCTTTAACATTTGTAGGCTTAAATTGAGCATTTATCTAGGACAAGGTCTTGTATGAGATTTTGTCATGAAACAAAGTCAGTGTCAGTCTAAAGAAACTGACCTCATATCATAGTCTAATAACACAGTCCATTCATGAGTAAATGAGCTCAGATTCTAACAAAATGAGTTGTGAAATTTTAAGTTGAACTTTGTCTCTTTCTTCAGGGTGAACGTTGACAGTAAAAAGAAAAAAAAGAGTCATTTTGTGTGTTAGAATACGCTCGAACAGTCAAACAAGAGTGGTATAAGAAATTTGACAAAAAATGCGCAAATTTGAACATGGCACAAAAAATAATCTCATTCAAGACGCACTACAGTGTGTTTGGTCGGAGCTGGACTGACTTGATATGTGTCATGTCGCAGGTGTACATTTGTGAAGCTTTGTGAAATGGGTATAAGATCTAAATCCTTCTGAATCTCTTGTTCCAATGTTAATAATTAAATATTTTATTGCTCAACATGCATTTCATTTTGTATATTCAATCAGATATTCATATTTCAAATGATGTCACAGTGGTACTGTATGTGTGTTTGTAGTTTACCTGGTAGGCTCGGATTAGAGACTGCACTGCTAGATGATCCTTCACCAGTTTCTCCACATCATGATGAGCACCCATGAGAGTCTGGACACCGACCTGACCCTCAGACAGCCCACCGAGTGGTGGAGGGCTCTGGTAGGCCGCACCAGGTGGAACTCCAGCGTTTGCATTCCGGAAAAAGACATCCCAGGACTAAAGGAAGGAAAAATGTCATTTCACTTGTGCAGGGAGTCTGATGTTCATCCACCTATTCACACTGACAGTGTTCCATCATGAACACCACAGAGACAAACACGTGTTATTCAAAAAGACATTTTTAAACTGTCATTTTGTGGAAAATGAAAGATGACAAAAGAAAACAGTCAGTCAACAAATCAGCCACTGATCACAACCGGACAATCAAAATGTTCATCCTGCTGCTCAGTGGAAAGGTCAGTTAAAAGAAAGAGTCAGATTGTTTTACAGCAATCACAGGAGATACATGATTTCCAGCAGTCAGATTAGATTACGTGTTCCACTTTTGTAGAGCCAGATTATGGCAGGTTTGCAGTTAAAATTCAACACTGCCTTTGGACAAAAGCTAGGCAGCATTGCTTTGCAGGTGTGCACGTTGAAATGTATTTGGATATATTATTGGAGTTACTGCTGTGTCACCGTCAGTCCTATAAAGTCAGTTAATCTGTCTAAAATGAGTGAAAACCAGATTAATATAACAGTTTGAACATCTTCAAAGCCTAGGTTCGGGGCCTGAAATGAGAAAGATGAAACTCTGCTTTAAGATGAGTTGTTAAAGATCTTAAATGCAGGAGATGAAGCACAGATGAACTAATCCAGAAATGCTGTGGTAACATATCTCACGAACCACTGTGTGGATTATAGACATTTTCAGAAAGTTCTAATTAAATGTACGTTTACAGCTAATTTATTTTAAAGTCAATCAATTTAAAATGGCCGCCAAAGGTAGTCAACATTAGCCAGCATGAAAATAGCTGTACAGTATTTCAGTCCATTCTTTATATAAATTTGTTGTAGTAGTACCAGAGGATCATTTAAAACACAAGTCCGTAATATATTTTTGAAGTTTTTACCAAAACAGCAACAGGTGGAAGAGAACTTGGAGAGGTGCAGGAATGAAAGTCAGCCATAACATGACAGAGTGCATGTGTGTGAATGAAAGGGAGGCCGGTGGAAGAGTGAGGCTACAAGCGTGCAGCAAAAGGTCAAAGGAAGGGTTTAGAGATAAAACCAGCTATGTTGTATGGTTTGGAGACAGAGACATGGACAAAAAGACAGGAGAAAAAACTGGAAGTGGCAGAAATTAAGATGTTGAGGTTCTCCTTAGGAGTGACAAGGAAGGATGTCAGATCATCTGGATAGTTTATTTCTTGTTATTTTTTTGAGACGTTTCATCCTTCATCCAAAGGACTTCATCAGTCCCAGGAGTTACAACAAACTCAGTCCCACAAGCAGCACACCAACATAGTGGACCAACCAGTTTGTTGGTGATAAGATGGTTTCTGGGGCCCCCCTCTCCCCTGTCGACTCCTTTGAGGCAGCCATAGCCAAAGTGGTTCAAAACATCAACGTTTTTTACCTGGATTATTGAGCATCAACTTTGATGTTTTGAACAACTTTGGCTATGGCTGTCTCAGAGGAGTTGGGGGGGGGGGGGGTATTCCAGATGACCCGCCTGAACATTGTTGGATTTTTTACCTGGATTATTGATCATGAACTTTGAGAGATGGATAAGATTAGGAATGAGATCATCAGAGGTACAGCACAGGTTGAACAACTGGGAGATAAAGTTAGAGAGACCACACTGAGATGGTTTGAACATGTCCAGAGGAGGAACAGTGGTTTGGACATGTCCAGAAGAGGGACAGTGGTTTGGACATGTCCAGAGGAGGGACAGTGGTTTGGACATGCCCAGAGGAGGGACAGTGGGTATATTAGTAGAAGGATGTTAGAAATGTAGCTGCCAGAAAATAGACAAAGAGGAGATATATGGATGCAGTTAGAGAGGACATGGAGGTAGTTGGAGCGAGGACAGAGTGAGATGGAGGAGGATGACTTGCTGTGAAGAAGAAGAAGAAGAAAAACAAAAAGAACAAGAAGACACCATCATTTCTCAGCTGAAGCTTATGATGTGGTACAGTATGGTATATGTTATGTATGGCATGTATGGTAAGAACGGTACAATATGGTGTGGTATGGTGTGGTGTGGTGTGGTACGGTACAGTATGGTGTGGTATGGTGTGGTGTGGTGTGGTATGGTATGGTATGATATGGTATGGTATGGTGTGGTATGGTATGGTATGGTATGGTGTGGTATGGTATGGTATGGTGTGGTACGGTGTGGTATGGTGTGGTGTGGTATGGTATGGTGTGGTATGTGTGGTATGGTGAGGTATGGTGTGGTGTAGTATGGTGTGGTATGGTATTGTGTGGTATTGTATGGTATTGTGTGGTATGGTGTGGTGTGGTGTGGTATGGTGTGGTATAGTATGGTATGGTATGGTGTGGTGTGGTATGTGTGGTACGGTGAGGTATGGTGTGGTGTGGTATAGTATGG